AAGCTTAACAGACTGAGCCACCCAGGCGCCCCTGAGCCAGTCCTTTTAAAGTCCAGACCCCCCGCAGGCTGTCTCTCCTGGAAGCGTATTTTCTCATTTCTTCTTCTCCAACGCTCCTTCTGACCCTCACCGTGTACGAGCGGGTGTGTTCTACTTCCACAGTGCAGACCCCTGCCCTGCCTTCAATGCCCCCCCGCCAGCACTCCTAGAGGCCTGGCCTCTCAGGCAGCCTGTTCCCAAATCACCCGACACCCCTCCTTGTCCCAAACAACTATACTTCCTCAGGTTAGAAGGAAGAAGAACTCCGTTATCCATTTTGCTCTTCAAAAGGGAGCTCACAGCTCCAATGTCTACAAGCGCGAGGCAGGTAGTGAGTGAATGAAGCGGCGGGAGGGACCACAGGTGACCAGGGGACACGCGGCCCCTCTAACAGGGGGCAGATGGTCAGTTCCAGGCCAGCCCTGTGCCGGCGAGCTTCCAGTTTTTTGAGAGAAATAGGACACTCCCGAGTTTTCAATGCTGGCAACCAATCCACATTTATTTTAGGCATCGTGTGGGCCGCACACACCTCTGCAGACCGTATTTGGCCTGCCCATTTGCAACTCCTGTTCTCCCTTTCTTAATGTCTCGAAAATAGTCTATTCCTGTCTTTCACACTTTGGTTGCACTTCCCGTAGGTTTTTCCACGTTAGAATGCAATTTGCTTCCCCTCCCACTGGCCACGGATTTCCAGCCCTTAAGGAAAGTCCTCTCATTGACTCTCCCACCCTCTTCCTCATCCACCCCTTGCCCCTGGGCCTCAGCCGTGCACCCAGCGTACCGAGAGGCTGCCACAGCTGGCACTGGCCGAGACACACATCCAGCAGCGAACCAAACGGGCAAAATCCATCTACAGCAGGACTGGACAAGGCAGGCATCTGGCGGTGTTGCAGAGAAGGAACGTGTGTCATGAATGGGTGTGAGATGACAATGGAGGCCAACCCGGGAGGGGGTGGGAGCCAGGTTGCCACGGCGGGGCGGGTGAGGCCACCTCGGCACCAGGTACTGCACAAGCTTCCTGCCAAGAACAGGCCAGCTCGGTAAGCACAACACAGACAGTGACATGAGCTAAGGAGAAAAAGTGAGCAGGGAAGGGGGTATAAAACGCGTGTGTGTGCGCGTGATTTTATATAGTGTAGTCTGAGAAAGCCTCATTGGAAGCGTGACTTTCAAATGCAGGCTTGAAGGGAATGAGGGATGGCTGAGTGAAGGTGGGGGGTGGGCACTACAGGCCCAGGAGATGGTGTGTAAAGGTCCTGGGGCAGAAGCAAATTCCTGACATATCTGAGGACCAGCGAGGGGCTCAGTGTCTGACAGAGGAAATGGAGTTGGGGATCCATTGTAAAAGAGCTCTGTAGGTCAAAAAAAGACTTGGGGTTTCACTGTAGGGTGGAGGATTGCTCTGGCTGCTCTGTTGAGAACAGATCCTAGAGGGGCAAGGGGAAAAGCAAGGAGACCCCTTAGGAAGCATTACAATGATCCAGAGAAGAGATGATGCTAGCTTGGACCAGGGTGGTAGCAGTGGAGGTGTTGAGAAACAGCCCAATTCTGGACACACACGCACGTATACACACACACACACACACACACACACACACACACACACACACACATATCTATACACAAACACGTGCTTTTTCACTATGGACACTTCCAAAGAAAACAGAGCACTGTAACAACCCTACGTACCCACACTACCATGATCCTACCACCTCCTCTGCCATCAGCTCTTGGCCAACCCTGTTTCACTCCTACCCCCCCCCCACTCTCCTGTACCTTAGATCAGTGGGTCCTATAATGTGGACCTGAGACAGTAGGCATCAACCAGCATTAGAAATACAAATTATTGGGCCCACTGCAGCCCCAATGAGTCAGAAACTCTGGCCTCAAGACTCAGTAATCTGTTTTAATGAGTCCTTCAGGTAAAAATCATTGCCCTAGATTATTCTGAGCAAATCCCAAACTTCCTGTCGCTTCAGCTATAAATACCTCAGTAAGAATCTCTGAAAGATAAGGGTTCCTTTTAAAAACACAACCACAATACCATCCTCACATCTAAAAACTTTACCCATAATTCCTTAACATCATCAGATATCTGCATATATTTTGAAGGTTGAACCAAAAGGATTTGTGGACAGACTGGACATGGGATATGAGAGAAAGAGAGGGTCCAACGATGATGCCAAATTTTTCTCCTGGACAGTGGGAAGGCTGGAGCAGCCGTCACCGGGATGACGGAGACTGACAGGACAAGCCTGGATGGAACATCAGGAGCTCAGGTCAGATGGGTCAGCCTGCCGTGCCCCCAGGCACCCCAGCACAGACATGGAGGGCACAGCTGCACCGGCCTGGAATCCAGCCGAAGATACAAACAGGGGCCCCAGCAAAGAGAAGGTCTTTAAAATCCAGAGACTGGAGGGGATCACCCGGGAAGTGAGTGCGTCTGAAACAGTGTGTTCAAAAGTCAAGTAGAATGAAGAGAAATGTCCAAAAAGATGTTAAGGAAACAGGAAGCGTGTGGTGTCCTGGAGGTCAGAGAAGAAAGAGTTTGAAGGACACAGGAGTGGTCAGCAAGTTCAGATGCTGCTCTATGTCCCACAACATGACAACAGAGCGTCCTTCCAGTTAGGCACTGATGAGCCAGAAAAGAGCAGTGTACGGGGAGCTGAGGGGCAATGGAGAGGGAGAGGGAAATGGAGGTTGTGTGTAGAGACAATTCTTTGAGGAACTGTGTGTATGTGTGTGTGTGTGTGTGTGTGTGTGTGTGTGTGCATGCACGTGCCTATGGGTCCATGTGTGTGTATGTATGTTTATGTGCATGCACGTATGTGCATGTATGGGTATGTGTCTATATGTGTTTCGTGCATGCATATGTGTGCATGTGTGTATACACGCATTTACGTGCATGTGGGTATGCATGTGTGAGCACATGTGTGTGCCTGCATGCATGCACTGCTGGAAATGCTCTGGGACAGTAAAAACTGATGTAGTAGGAGAGGGGGAGCTGTGAGGTGGCAATGGCATCTGTCTGCAGGGTAGTGGGTCTCCAGAAACTTGCAGCTACACATGGGCAGCTTCTGGTGAGGGGAAGAGGATGTCACTGGTGGTATCACCAACTAAGCAGGATGAAGCAGGAGGGGGGCAAGGGCACACAGGGCGGGGGGTGGGGGGATGTGCACGGCAGAGCTAGCGGCTGTGACTCATGAAGCCAAAGGGGGCCGGCGCGGGACTGTGGTGGGGTGGCAGGTCTGGGACCGCAATCCCAGCAAGGGTCAAAAATCGCTGAGCTGGAGAACTAAGGGCTGAGTTGAGAACTGGGGGCAGTAGGTGCAGAGTGGACGTTCTGACATAGATGGGGCACCAGAGCATGGCCGTGGGAGAGAGTGGCCGAGCCAGGGTGGAGCACACACTGGTGGTGCGGGGAGGTCAGGGAGCCCAAGGCCAAGGTCTTCAGAAGGATCCCCATGGTGACTAGAGGTACCAAACATGGGGGCAAGACTCAGCCTCAGAGAGACCGACAGAGAACAGGGTAAAATCCCCAGGAAGCAGGCAATTCCAATACAGGGCGATGGGCGATGGGGTTCCTTGATGTGTGTGGCAAAGGGTTAACACAGCCTCCAAGAGAACTGACCTTAGATTACCATTCTAGTCCTGTTTCCCTGGTAACCTGATAAAAGTTATCTGTGTTACTAGACAGCATGGCTTAGGACTGAAAATAGTCCTGACTGGTAGAAGGCATCTGGACTGAGAGGAACCACAGGTGACCCATCATAACTGTAAAGGGGTCATGTGGACACTCATGGAATGAACGAGCCTGTCCTTGGAAGCTCTGCCACCCGACACTGGACTCTGTGGGGAGTTAGACTTCTCTGCAAACAGCCCTGGCACGCACATCTAGTGAGTGAAGTATGCCTAGGGTCTCCAGATGGCCGTGTGAACGTACAGGGCCACTAGGAGGAATACTCCAGAGAAGGAGCGTGCCCCCCACTGCCCTGCCAGCAAGGTGTGGTTCCTGTCCTAAATCCCCAGCGGGGTCCTGACAGCCTCAATGTTTGGACGAGGCTTGGAAGTCCTCCAGTAGGCACTGTACGTTGAGATTGCAAGTTGAGTGCTTTTAGGGAGGAGGGAAGCAGAGTGTCTGGAGGTGGCAGAGAGGGGACTAGGGGGCACACATCCCACCCCCGGGGCCAATGGGCCAAGGGAGTAGAAGAGAAACAGCCACCACCTAGGCCTACCGGGGAAGGGGTGGCTTGCCCCAAAGCAAGACAAACTTGGCCTGATGTCCCGAGGCTGGGGCTGGTGTCAGCAGGAGCAGGAGTGACTGAGGCAGCCAGAATGCGCTCTGCTTCTTAAGATCCAGGTCACACAGACCATATTCCTGGTCCGCAGATAGCCAGTCCAGATCAATAATCAAACCAGCCACACGTGTTTTCTTTCTTTCATAATAAATTCCACGATAACACACCATAAGGAAACTCCAGTGAAGCCCAGCCCACACGTCACAAAAATAAGTAGGTCAATTTAACGATGCCGACAGCCCAAGACTGAGGTACCATTTGTGGCTGCATTCTTGTGTATGATTTTAGACCATCTTCTTGTATTTCAGGGTCTCAAGAGGATAGCAGCATCCAGATCAAGGTCAGTGTCTCCTCCATGAGCTCAGTTCAGACTGGCTTGTGACTGTTCCTTCCAGAGTTATCAGTTTGGAGCTAAAGCAGCTCTTCAGAAAGACAATGGATTTTCTCAGGCGGGCGGATGGAGGCGCAGGAGGGTTGCTAAGCAAAGTGCAAATCAAAACATCAGTCTGTACTGGAAGCTTGAGAGCCAAGATGAAAGCCAACCCGGGAGACACACGTCAGCCCCAATAAGAAACTTTCCTGTACTGGCCACTGCTTCTCTTTCTCACCAAAAAAGTCCAGGCCACACAAAAGAGCCAGGGTGGGGAGGGGGTGGGGGGAGGGCACTGAAAAACACAGGAGCAAACGCACTGCCTCCCATCGAGGCTGTGTTCGCCTGTATAAACCAACCAGAGAAAATAAAAGGGAAATTTATCATCGCCTGCAGCCACAGCTGGGAAAACATCTGTGGGACAGGGGTGGGCCCCTCCACACTCCCCTCCCTGCACTGAGGTCAGCTGTGGCTGTGACCAGGCCAGAGGAGGAGGCCAGCATAACAATACCTGTTTCTCTAGAAACATGTGCGTGTTTGCTGGGTACATAGGGGCTGATCCCGTAGCCCAGATCCTTGGGGGCAGTGTTGACCGCCTGACCACGGATCTCATTCCTGGGCCTTCATTCCCCACCCACGCCCCGCCGCCCCCGGCTCTCCTCCTGGAGCAAGTCCTCATGTGTCACCACTCCCTCATGTAACAAGCCCTTCACTTTGCTTCCTATGACTAACAAATCAGGTCCACCGGCCGCCTGGCACTGGAGGTTCTATTTACAGCTATCTTTTCAGTTTCCTCTCTGACTAGCCAAACCAGTTCCTCGGGACATCTCTCTCTCTCTTCTTCCTTCCCCAGTTATCCCTTCATCTGAAAGACCCTCCCAGCCCTGCTAAGACCCCACCTCAGAGCCTCCTCCCTTGCAGAGAAGCGCTATTTCCATGCATGCCCCTTCTTATGCTGTAGGACATGCGGGGACGAAGGTGTGACTTTCCCCTTCCTTCCGTCACTCAGCAAGGACTCCCGATGCCCACTCTGTGCCAGATGTTGCTCTGAGCACCGGGGAGAATGGCAGCAGCAGGGAGGCAGGAACTCGAAGGAGCACTGCTTCACAAAAGGGGCGTGATCACCTGGGTGGTGCCGCTGGTTGGAGGGCAGACCCATAAGGTAGAAGACATGGGGATCTTAAGGAAGAGCTTCAGAGGCGTGGCAGGTACCAAAGCCGGGCTTAAGTGTGTCACAGGAGGATGTGGGGTGAGTGGAGATAGCAAGGGAGGACGACCTTTTCATGTGAGGTAATGGTAATGGAGCCGGGGGGGGGGGG